GAAATAATTTCTTTACAGATAGGGTGCTTATTCTTGTACAATAAACCCTTAGATATCTCTAATGCTTTATATTTAAGAAATGTTCTTTGGGTATTGGCTGCTTCAGAAGTGAAAGTATTTTTTCTTTCTTTATCTAGTTCTGCAAATGCTACTCCTGAATTTGAAGGCCGGGGAGGAGAAGAACTTGGCACAGAGATAGCAAATACTCTCTACAGAGTATTTAGCAGCGAGAGCAGTGTAGACTTGAAATCACTTTGTATTAATCCCAGAGAGCACTGCTGGGTTCTCTATGTTGATGTATTGGTAAGTAAGGGAATGAAAACTAAGATTCAAGGAGGTTTTTCAAGGCACGGAGTGACTTAGCATAACCATGTGTATTTTCATATAAAAAAAAGTTCTCATAATGTGATATAATGCTTCACAGCATGGATGGTCATTTTCTTGTGAATCTGCCTATAATAGTTAATCACTACTTCCAGCTTGCTCTTTTTCTACTCTTCTTGGTGCTGCTGTTCTGCTGCAGAGCTAATAATACACTGCATACTCCAAATCTGTCTCAGATAAAAATTGGTGATCTTACACTGACAAGGAAATTGCCGCTAAAGAAGTCTAAACTTTTTCCCAAGCTAGATATAACAGCGAATGTATCGCTCTAATGAATTTAAGTTAACATGTGTGTATATTAGCCCTAACATAACTGTCCATCCTGTCTACCTCTTTGCACTGTTATCAGTACTGATTCAGTGAAGTAAAATAGAAACTTTTCTGGCAAAAGCTACGTTTGGCCTAGGCACTTTTTGGTGAAAGTTGTATACATATATTGAATGTAGAAGAGAAACTGAATATTTGTTCCCATCAAAAAATGGAAACTGAATTTCGTGCATATAAATCTTGTGCATGCAGCAGCTCAATTTCCAAACCATGCTGTGTTTAAAGCATTCTGTCATCAGTATTTAATAGACATCTGCAAGTCAGATACTCTTGAGCATTATTTCCAGTTCTTATTGGTACAAAGTTGAGTTTTTATTTGTCAAATTTGTAACTGAAAGTATGTTGAGGGATCTTACTCACAGGAATCCATTAATGTCTATGAAATGATTTGCAAAATGTTAAGCTGTATTGACAAAAAAATTAAATACCAGGCTTTCATTAAACAAAACAGGAGCATTTAGACTAAGACCTAAATAAATGTGAAAATTAGCTATTTAAAAAGCAGTAGCATTAGCCTAATTATAGTAGATATGGTACATACTGTGACTTAGTCTGCATACAGAATGATAAAATTTGTGCCACTGCTGAGTGCTTTAACAGTCCTAGTCACCGACTTATTGGAGCTTGGCATGGTTTAATAGAGGATGAAGTGTTAGTTCTGAGAAATCACACTGGGGTCTTTAGTTACTAGGTAATTACAAGCAGAGGTACAGAATATTAAATGCTGTGCTTATTTAAGCAATGTACTGCTTAACATTGCATAAACACTGCACAAACAAAGACTTTCATAAAGCTGACTGCTGCAGAAGTAGTTCTGTGTAACTTTTGTATGAGGTATAACTGGTCATTATTTGATTCTTCCTGGACAAATTTGTTGATTATCCACAGCTAGAGAGGAAAACAGCCTTGTCATTTTTATGCTACTAGTTGCATCTGAATTACGAACATCAAGACCTATGTTATATGATGAATTTTACAATTAACTTTGTTTACAGTGCAAATAAAGAATCTGTTGTAGGTTCATAATTAAGACTCTAAACTTAATGAGTCTTTTTAATGTCATATTCTGCACAGATTTTGTGTATGAGCCATTGAAGAGCTGCTGGTTTGAGTTAAAAAAGATACTGTTAGCGTTTGTCTCTTACTCTGTCATATCCTGTCCTGTTTCCCCTTTTTTTTTCCACTCCATACCTCTATATTTTCACATTTTTAAGGTATTTGTACTACTTCCTTTTGTAAATAGAAGACATGTATATCACATGTGATAGTTTATACTTGCTGTATAGGTGCTTCATACCTGCAGATTCTCCTGAAGCTGCTCTTGCTGAATCATTCCTATAGAATTCTATTTTAATAATACATGGTGGAAGTATGACACCTGTGCTAATACAAGTCATAATATTGATCATTTGAAGGAGGCAGATTCTAAATATAATAGCAATGCTTATTCAGAGTCCTTTGGATGGTGTTTTCCTTCAGAATTCCTCGAAATTGTTCACATTGGTGTTTGTGTTGCATAGTGAAGTTGAAGAGAAAATAAACCTTAAATCTGTTGTAAGCCTGAAAGTACTGGTACCTGGAAGTACTGTGGTCAGGTGGGAAGGTGCTTGTTTTCAGGTCTCACATTCTGGAAGACAAAAACCTAGAACGAATGTTATGAATCTGGAGATACTCCATTGCCTCATAAGTTAGCCATGCACACTTTGGTTGAAGCATCTGTGTTCAGCTCCTATCTGTAAACAAAATTTGAGATATGCAAGCTCAAAAGAAAATAGTGTAGTTTGAAGAGTCATGCAGTTTATTGATTAAAAACATCTCTCAAATAGTTTCTAGTGGTCAGTGTACTTTGACTGTGCACAATTATAGCACCGCCCGACTGGAAAGAAAATGACTTCATCTATACACACCACAAAGATGCAGACCTATGGACGCATACAGATATGTGTCAAAGGTCAAGAATATACACCTTGACCTTTCAAAATACATACATTCTTTCTTAATAATAGAAGGCGTTCCACTTCCAAAGAGTAGCTCATGAATGTGGAGATACACAGTACTGCAAAACTATAAGCCTGTTCTAACCCTGTTTGTGTTTCCCTCAATTTCTTTCCCCTTCTAAGTCATTGATGTCAGAAATAAACTTGTAGGCATTTTTGAGGGTGTTTTTTGATACATGTTTAGCCTTCTCCAAGTAATTTGCCCCAGCAATCTCCTGCGCTGAGCAAGGAAAATCAAAGCTTGCAATCTCTTTTCACTCCCTACCCAATCACAGTACATTGTGTGTTGGGGGGAGCCATTAGGTTCTGTTGAAATTTTGGCAATTCACTACTGAACATCCCTCAGAGGATTTCCTCATCTTTTCTATTCCCTCCCAGTTTGGAAAGAAAAGGTTAGAAGTCTGTCCTTTTGGAGGAAAAACTTCTTTGAATAAGGCAAGGTAGGCCCCAATAACATTTTCATTTGCCTATCGGTGAATTAAAATCAGCCCTTTCTAAAGATTCCTTTGCTTCCCACAGCTTGCAGTTGTGCAGACTTTCTTAGTCCTTAAAAATAATAAAAAAATCTGGAGGGGATCTCAGTACAAGATGCTTCAGCTGAGAGGAGAAGGTTAATTTCTTTTTTGAGGAATTGTTGTACTATGCTTGATAAAGGCTGCGTTCCTAGCCTGTAGGCACCACTGTAATACAGATAAGGCTTTAGAATAGCAGCCTGAATGTGAGCCTAGCAACAGTACAGGCACATCCCATTATTGTGTTTTAATAACAAAGGTATTGTGGGGCTTATTGTGTTATCCAGTAAAATCCAATAATGACTGCAAGTGGCAAGTTAACCTCTCTGTGTCCAGCAGCTGTTTGCAAAGAAATAATCTGATCACCTTTGTATTTAGCTTTCTATCCCAACTTTTTGTCACTCTTTTTACACAGTTCAGTCTATCTTCATAAAAATAAACTGTCTTTCCAGAATATGTGATCTATGATTTGCTCCCAATGCGGGAGTTTATCTCACTTTTAAATAGATTTTGAAGAACAGTCAATGCAATCAGTGTTGCAAAACTTGTTTTGCTCTCATCATACAGCATAGATTGATGTAATGGAGAAGCATCCATATGTTCTCGCTGAGGTGGTTTCAAGTGCTTGCTGAGGGTGTGTGTGTTCGTAGAACAGTGCTGGCAGCTGAGAGTAGAGCTTGTCAGAGAACTAACACTAGACTGTGGCCAAATACATCTTTGAGTTGTCTGTCAGGCTATAAAAGGTATTAGTTGGTTATGGGAGACCTGCCTGTTTATCTAGTGTGCTGGTTCTTATCTTTGACTGTTCTTCTGATCTTCATGGGAAGAAGCTAAGCTAGACTCATTCTGCACGCTTTAATTCTGATGGTAGTGTTATCAACAAATAGACTTCCACATCAGGATTTCCTTAGGTCTTTTTCAGCTACAAAACAAACCTGCTGCCAACTCCTTTTCCATGGAGAATGAATCATGATGTGCCTTCATAACTGTACCTTCTATAACTAGCTTTTCGTACCATGTTCTGGGTGACAATTTGCGTTGCTTCTTTGAAAACAGTTCTACCAATTGGGTTTGAGCAGCTGATGCTCAAAAAAGACTCCTCTTTGAAATAAAGTATGGAAATGGATTGGCTTGATTTAACATTAAAGAATGAATGTGGTGAGTTTATAAAAAGTATTCTGGTCATAGTCTAGTTCAGAGCCTTAGCACAAGAAGAGTAAGAACAGCGGTGGTTTAATTTCAGCTTCTATTATTAAATTTTATCATTAATTTTATTATGAAGTACGTCGACTCTTCTATTTTGCATGTATAATACAGTTAGCTGAAATCTTTATTTCCTATCTGTTTCCTTTCGTAGATGGGCTTTAAAGACAAATTTGTTTTTAAAAACCTGTTCTGGTTCTTAATTTTGTGCCTTTTTAAATAGGTTTAAGTAAAATTAAGACTTGATTTAAATGCCGTAGCCTGATTTTCTGTTAAAGAGATTCTGTTTTTTTTCCTCCCCAGTTACTGGAATGTGGTGGGAACCTCTTTGATGCAATTTCTATTGCAGTGAAGGCAGCTCTCTTTAACACAAGGTAAAGCACAGATCTCATTTCATGTGAGTGGACTTGGCATGGGAAGTGGAAGGGCAGTACTCTCTGTGAGCTAAGCGTTTTTAATGCTTACTTATTTAAATGAGAAATACCCAAGGCAACTTGCATTCAGATACAAGGCAGTCTATTTGCATGCAAGTAATATGAACTAACGTTACTTTAATTCAGTTTATAATAATCAAGTGTCAGATCGCATCATATGCACAATCAGGCTCACAGTATAATTTTTGTTGTGTAGCCAGATCCAGAAAAAATTGTCTTGACCTTACAGTTTTGTTGCGAGTAGTTGGAGGCCTTTGTGTTGATAGCTTGTGGGTTTAGACTAAGAAGTATTTACTGATATGTGATGCTCCCAAATAAGAAGCTTTCTGTTAATGAGACTACTGATTTGTAACTACCCCGATTTCCCACTTCTGATGTTCTTATTACCTGTTAGTCTAGAGTTCTTTTTAAAACGTAAGAGGGAAAAACAGTGGTGAAAGGTTGTGGGGAGGGGGAAATGATGTGTCTTTAAAAGAATTTCTGCACAGGCATTTTAATTCAACGAATGGAAGAACAAAAGCTAGTAGAATGAATGATGCAAGTGCTCTGTGTGTGTTTTAATAACATTCAATAATATTTTTTTCTAACTTTCTAACTTCTTTATCTATAGGTGACAAGAAATACAGAGTTTTGTAGCACCCTTGAGAAACAGACTAGTGAATAGCTTTGCTAAAAAACTTACATAGCAAAAGTAGCTGGAAGAGGTGCAAAAGTTAGACTCTTACAGGCATAAATGTTTTAATATTGGATCTCAAATTGTTCTTTAGCTGTAAACTAGAGATCTGCTAAAGTCACTGGTGTAGTTCTGGCTTATTCATTAGGGAATGAGCAAACAGTACTAGAGCTGGAAAAGCATGTGCAAGAAGAAGAGGAAAATGTGCTTTTGAAGACAGGCAGTATATCAGGTTATAAACACTTTAAAAGGGGATAAGGGGAGAATCTGTCTGAGACTACAACTTTTATATATTACTGAGAAATTTCCCATGTCAATCAAGTTCTCTACACTAACTTCTAACAGTAGATTGTTTTTGTAGCATTAAGAAATACTGTCACAAACGTAGTGGCTAACAAAAAGAGTTGACAGTACACTAAAGGAAAGAAATGCCAATGTCTGTGTGTGTGAGCTGACAGGATGCAAAAATTGTATAGTTAAAACTGTTGTTCCCATGTGAGTTGTTTTGTAGATCCAAGGCATTTACAAGATAACTAGGTCTTTTTTTCTTATTTCAACTAGAATCTTAGTTTTGAATAAAGATAAGATGATATAAAAAGTAATTTAAATAAATAAAAGAAAATCTGTTGCTTTGGGTCCATGGGCAACATGGAGGGTGTAATTGTTTTAATGATTCTGCTTTATTTTTATTTTTCTGACAACTGTATCCTTCATGTAATCTTGAATCTGTGTGCAAGCACCCACAGTCTTGTGGAAGTCAGATATCCAATCCAAATGTGGGACAGTATGCCATAATGCAAAGCCTGTTGATTTTTTACCTGTGGAAAACCTTGTCTATTGGTTTGAGCAGGGAATGATAATATGTCTCGTCTCATAGAAAGTCAAGAGGTGAAATTCAGAGTGAAAACTTATTGTCCTCCTTCACTATTCCTCTCCCTTTCCCTTGGTACCTACTAAGTTTTGTTTGGGTCAACACAAGGTTGTTTAGAGTAGCTGCCCACTTTCCATAAAATACTACTGTCCAAGCAAGAACAGATGTCAGTTTGAAGATTGCTTCAGATTAAGCGTTCTGAACTTCGCTTGACGTATGTGTCCATCTTTGAGTCTTACTTGTCTTTCATAATCCATTTACAACCAGGTTTTTATTATAAGTGTTTCCAGATCTTCATGAGCCTTGACTGCAGCCTTGGAACCAAGAGCAGGGAGCTCAAGCTGACTTTTTTCTTTGGAGCTACAAATTTTTAGATATTCAGATAGGCATTTGAAAACCTCAGCTTCATCCTTAAGATCTTGCTCTAACCTTTTTTATAATAGCTATGGACACATGTTTCTTTAGGGCTAAGTAAATAGAAAATTGTAACTTAAGGAGTTTTGTGCGAGAATTATGGGATTTAAATCCTTTGTATGTCTGACCTGACTCACCATATCCCTTTCAGGTGTGGAACAATGATAATATGACTGTTTTAGGGGGGACGTTTACTCCTTGAAGTTTTGTATTGTTCATTGGGTTCTAAAAACTATATCGAGATCATGTGCAAAAGATGGCAGATATCAAACTTTCTTCTGAACTGTGTCTCTAAGGTGCTTAAGGCTCGATCTATCCACATGGAAGCATATGTTGCAAAATGTGCAAGTGGTTACTGTGTCAGGACTTAGGCACATTCCACACGATCAAGTTTAATGCTACTTGCAACCAAGGCAACAGAAACTAGGCAAGTTACAAAAGCCACAGAGTTTATAATACAATAGCCTTGCAGATGTGGTTTTTTTGATGGGCAGCATGATAGAGGCAGATCTGATGCCTGCTTGCAAGGGTGGAACTGGTTTTGCCATTGTGAAATCTGTGTCTGCAGCACATAGAAGAGAGAGAGCATTGTTTGTTATGTGACTAAGTCCTGCTGTACAGATTTCTGCCCTGATTAGCTGCAGAAATCATAATAGAAAAATAAAAGTTGCAAAATAAACATGTACAGCTAGTTCTTAAGATAAATCTTCACAAGCTGGGAGAGGAAATCTCCAGTTTTCTGGAAACACTTTGTGCTACACTCTCTTTGCCTAGTTTTTGTGTGTATATACCCCCTTTTTATGCAACTGTGATCCTTGTGTCTGATTAACTGTCTTTTTGCCTCTGCATTAGTTCTAACTTGTACCTCTCTCATCTGTTCTCGGCCTAAACAGCTCCTTGCAGGCATTTTTCAGGTGTTAATTCTGGCAACTTTTTCTTGCAGACCAAACCTTGCTCTGATTTCATAGCTGTTTCAGGATGGAGTTAAAAATTGCTTAATGTCACAGATTTTCTTGAAATCCTCCTTCTTTTTTTAAACAATGCTCTGGCATATACAGTTCTTGTCTAGGCTGTTGTCCAACGTCATCCATTGTCCTCTGTAGCTTGAGTGTTATTCACCTTGTGACTCTATTCTGTCAGTTTCCAATGGAATATTTTTAACTTGAAAATAGGCTTTGATGCATGAGTTGCAAATCATTTTGAGTTTCATTTCAGGAAAAAGTGTGCATCACAGTTGTTCTGCTTACTGAAAGTTTTTGGTTTAGGTTGTTAGCTCAGGTCAGTGTTCTTGGGAGGAATTTGTTGTCCCTGAAGCAGAGTTAGCTGTTCTGAAGTACTCACCCCTAGGACTCTTAGCCACAAATAACTAAAATACTCTTCCAGGGAACAGCAAAAATCACTTTGCATTGGTGGGGGAAATGTTCACTAAATAGTCCCTGTCTTTAATAGAGATTTGATACAGAATGTGTAAAAGAGTAAACTCCGGAGTCTAGTTATAAAACACAACACTACTGTCAAAGTACTAGTATAAAACCAGGTTGTGGTTACATTCCACATGGTTACTGAAGTTAGCTTTCTAGGGACATCTTGAAATATTTTATGTTTTCAAGTGCAAATGTATAGAAGTGCGAGTAGTATGGCTAAGCTGTCTGTGTTACTGGCCAGTAAAGCAAAGTCTCTCAGTCAGTACTCCATCCTGGTGAGCACTTGGATAAATGAGGGTATGCTGACATTCTTGGCAGCTTGATATACCATCTTCTACTAAATTGTTTGAAATTACTTTATTCATTATGCTAAGAAAACTGCATTAAATCATCCTGTAAAACTCCCATTAAATGGCTATCAAATACAATATATGTGCTGCTGATAAGGAGTCTGTCGAGCTCATTTGTGAGAGAGCTCGTCACTCGCAATTCAGAAGAAAGCATTTCTTGGATTTCTGCCTGGGTTTTTATCCCTGGTCGTTGCTTTTGTGTATCTGTCCTTAGAACAGTAGAGTCTTCTGGCTTCTTAAAGAATGAGATTGTTTGCCAATCTTCCCATCTTGCTAAAGACAAAGGATTTTACTGATGTCATCTTTTCCCTTTAGCCCAAGTCTTCTTAGTGTCATTCTTTCCTGAACAGCTTTATTCCTTGTATTTGCTACTGATGTCACAGCTTTGTCAAGCAATGCAATTGCTGTAATTCTGACAACTTTACTGTTTGCAAGGTTGAAAGGATTCAGTCTTGGTAATTTCTCTCCTGTACATCTAGACAGATGTACAAAGAATTGTTCAGAACCGATTTGTGCAAATTCCTAAAGAATCTCTCCCCATATATTCATGTAAAAAATGGTTCAAATTCTAAGAGTTTGAATAGTGTGAATATGATTATCTTATCCTAAATATCTTCCCACTTACAATGTTTTCTTCCTACTCTCAATGAGGTGTTAATACTTTGATAACATTCTGGATTTTTTTCTAAACATTTAGCCTCACTTAGAAGAAAGGGCAATTCTTGAAGTTGAGACAGTGTGCCAACTGTATTTGTTATCTGTTCTTGCAATGATTTAGCACATTTTATTTCCACAGAATACCCAAAGTGCGTGTTCTGGAGGATGAAGAAGGCTCTAAAGAGATTGAGCTGTCTGATGACCCTTATGATTGTATTCGACTTAATGTGGATGATGTACCCTGCATCGTCACACTAAGCAAAGTAAGCCTGACAAATTTCTGACCTTCTACCTGGAGACTTCAGTTTCTATTAACTTCACCTGCTGTTTATTTTTTCCCTAGAGAGAAAACTATTGTTACAGAAATTGTCACTGTCCACTATGTATTTCTTCATCTTTGGCCTCCTAATTAAGAAGAACTTTTACTAAATAAGGGTTTGTTTTTTCACCTCTGACTTGCAGGTTTCAAACTGATGCATTCTTAAAATGCATCTTCTTGCATGCAGAAGAGTTGTTTGTTGTTTTTCATCTACTCCTTGCTCAACATCCAGAGCGGCAGATCTGTCAGTATGTTAAAACAAATGGTCATTGTTGTGAGGCGCAGAGGTTGTGTGATCTCCCTGGAGTTGCATGACAAGTATTTGTTGCTGGGGACAGAACTCCCATTTTCATGGGTGCAATACTGTCCTTTCCTTTCAAACAGGTTTTGGTTTTTGTTTTCCATGTGTAGCACACAGCTAACACAGTTGATTTGCTGGATGCTGCATTGTCCATTGCAAGAGTTAGTGATTTGCTTACTTACCCGAAAGTTTGTCTGACATTTCCTCTGAGCAAGTTGCATAAATAGTCGAAGTGCCGTCACTGAAGGGTGGGCTCACCTGAGTCTCAGGATGTGTAATTTTCACCTAGAGGGGGAGGGATGTTCATGCTTTGAGTTGAGGGGTAAAGGGGAATATGGAGTTTCATATGGATGAAAGGATGGTCAGAGAGGATAATAGTATGAAATAGTGACATGCTTGTCTCGCCTCTGTTATGTGTGTACACACAGTCTGGGCTCAGAGGCTGTTTAAATACTGTGCTGTCAAGTCAGTCTCTGACTACTACCAAAGGCCACGTGATATTAGGATGGGAGGCTGTAGATAGCTAACAGAGCTACCACTCACAGTTTTATTACTTAATAAAGAGCTTAGACAACTGCAAACTAATATGTCATTTTGTCACTAACTTACAGATTGGATATAGGCATGTAGTGGATGCTACCCTTCAGGAAGAAGCCTGCTCTTTGGCCAGCCTGCTTATTTCTGTGACCAGTAAAGGTGCCCTCACTTCTATGAAGAAAGTGGGAAAAGGTAGCCTGGATCCTGAGAGTATTTTTGAAATGATGGAGGTAAGGAATTTTGAGCAGTTACTGTCTTGGATTATACTGGATGAACTGGAACTTGGGTATATGAAAAGCTGCAGTAAGGACTTTAAGAGCAGAGATCTTGGTGCTTTTATCAGATGCACAAAGGACTTGCTGAAGGTCACAGACAGTTCCTTTGAAATACAGTGTGATACGAATGGATGTTATATAAAACTTTTAGATGCCTGAAATGTATGCTACTCACATTTGTTTCAGTCAAGTACTTCGCAGTAGTAAGACTGTAAAGCTTAAGTTGATAAACTTTGAGAGTGTTTTTAAAAAACATGTTCCCTCTCATTGTTTCCCTAAAAGACTGGACTAACATAGTAAAGTCCCTACAGAAGTAGAGATGGTACTTAAAGGTGTTCTCTTCTAGCACAACTAATTTGTTTTGTGATAAGTTTACCATTCTTATCTTACTATTGTTTACCTTTGCTCCTTTATTTGGTTTCTGATCTGCCCCTACTCCATGAAAATACTAATACCTGGATGTTGTTCACATCCACATAAATACTCCATTTTAAACCTTTCTTCAGGCTCTTCTTAAATCTGTCCTCCAGTATAAATTCTTGTGCCTGGGTTTGGCCTTGAGCATAAGACAGAAATGGATTTTGAACTTGGAGTCAGAATGAAAATAAAATACTTCAAACTGGCTCTGTTTTCTAGAGATCCAGAGCTAATTTCAGTGTGGCTGTAGTACAGAACGCAGACATTGGAGCCGAGTTTGAAAACAGTTGGTCTCAAGTGGAAATCACATGCTGAGTATATATGGTACTTCACTGTTTCATGATGTCAATCCAGATTGCTAATCTTGGTGGTACCAGGGGGCTATTTATTTGCATTCAGAGATGTCATGTACCCCCCTTATCTGAGTAGAGGGGTGTTATCACTAATCTGGCATCTTAAAGAAACTAAACTTCCTATGGACATCTGATGTGTCTCCCTCGATGGACTTTGAGTCCAATTCTAACTAAATGTCATAAAAGACTTGAAGTTTTGGGTCTAGGGCTGTTACAAAGAGATGGGTGCTGAAGTCAGATACAGGTTCATGGTACAAGCTGGCCTCCATGTAAATTATTTGCATAAAGCTTTGGTTGGAGCCTCTATTCTGATCATGGATTTTGCTCTACATTGGGCCCTAAATAGGAGATGAACTTCTGCATTCCATTGTATAGCTGCCCCCAAAGGCTGTGCTTGGGATTAGTGTTTAGATGAGCATTACATAATCAGAGATGCATATGGAAGGTAACCACGGGAAATCATCAAACCACCCTACTCTGCTTAAGAGCTTTAGTGAACTTGTCCTTCCTTGTTGGTGCAAGGAGTTAAAAGCTTAAGCTGATCACCCAGTGAGTTGTGCTGTCTCTCGCTTGCTTTGGAAAAAGTCTTCCCTCCCGAGTGGTGAGTAGTTTGAAGGAGTGAGGGATAAAGCTGATCAGAAGAAACCAAGATGTTTTCTGGGAGGTCAGAAGTTTTCTGTTTGGCACTGCCTCAAACTCAGCAGCCTGATTAGGATACCAAGAAAAACAAAAAGGCCTGGGAATGTCTGCTGGAGGAGCTGCAAAACCCTTGCTTGACACCTCCATTCCCTAATAATTTGGCTGCAGGTCAGAGAGTGTTCAGCTTTCCCTGCCTGGTAGAGAACAGGCGTTCTGGGACATATGTCTTAGGAAGGCAGCTTCATAGGAAAGTTTTGGGTAGCTGCCAGCATTAGGCTTTTTTTACTGAGTTTGTGATCCAATCCGTAAGAGAGGCAAGCCAGGGGTAAGATGGCAACAGCGTTGTGTCAATACCAAAGCTCTGTGCAGTTCCCATTCACTTTGACCTAGTGTGAGTGATGTTGTCCTATATTGGAGAAAAACGTGCAAAGTATGTCACCCCCCGGGACTCCAGACTGTTGCTGTGACCTTTGTCCCAGTGCAGAGCTGTAGCAATTCTCATGTGTGCCCCCTTTATTTAGCATGACTCGTGGTGTCTAGGATTGACAGGTACCCTACTGCATCAAAGCTCTTCCCACATTTCCTTTGGTACTATGGGCCATATTCTGTCACCTGGTTCTTTGCATAGAAAGGTACCTTATTTCAAGGTTTGTGCACCCTCGGTGTGGGCACTTATGAACAGATGAAAGAGAGCTTTGTGATCAGCTGTATGGGAGGCATAGGCTTCGTTGCATAGATCAGGAGCTAGTAAACTCAGTTTAATATCATGTCTTTGGCTCTTTAGGGACAGGTAGGCTCTTTTCATCTCTGTATGGAGTCAGTATTTCAGGTCATTTAGAGAAACCCTGGGAAAGCTCTAATAGGCACCACTGCCTTAAGATCTTTATTTCAGCATTGCCCAATGTTCCCCTGTCCTGTACCTTATACAGTATAGTATGATTGTGCATATGGGAAGAGTAGAGGCTCGTATCGGAGCCAGTTCTGGTGGTTTTCCACTGCTGGAGTCTATTTCTGTAAGGACAACCTTCTGTTAACTCTCTTAAGGTCCTTGGACAGTACAGAATTGCACATCATCATGGAGGATCTGCCCACAGACTGATTTGGTGGTGCAGCAAGTGTGCATTTTGGGCTTCTCTGGCCACATGACAGGGTGTTGAGCTGGTCTAAATTCACTCTGGTGATTCTGAGTACATTCAGAAGAGTTTTCTGAACTTTCTGTTAGTAGGTTGCTTTGCTAGTCAGGTATCTCTTGTCCTCTGGCAGCCAGCATATTGCTTCACATTGCATGTGCTGGCTAATTTGAATGTGTGCTTGCGCCTGATGCAAATTTAATTTGTGTTCCTGGGTGATCCATCAGTGCACAGATCTGATATTAATGGTCATGGAATGCTTCTCTGCCTTTATGTGTACATTTTTCCAAAACTTAATCGAATTAAAACAAAACTTCCACCACCATTATTTTTCTTAATTAAAAGCATATTTTTATTTTACCCGTTGGTGTATATGAATCATTAAAGGGAAAATATATGTCAAAAGGAAGTGTTCCGTGAGAGTTGTCTTCCTGCTAATGTGCACATGTCTCAGATTTGTTTTGCTTTCTTTGCATTGCAGACGGGCAAAAGAGTAGGCAAGTCACTGCACATAGCCCTTCAGAAGATTTTGGATGAAGAGGAGAGTTTGGGGACCTCACGACAGAAAGTTGGATTTCTAGGATGAGTTTTTTAATAAATATTCAAAACTGGTTTTAATTGATTGTGCAGTCTTGTCAGTTTGTATATAGAAAAACAGTATTTTTTGTTCCAGTACCTTTATCCTTCTGGCTAAGAGGCTTTTTAAAAGTTATTAAGCATACAGAGAGCTACAGTTAAATGCAACTAAGCAAATTTGAGATGCTTTCCATATGGGAAACTGTCCGCACCTAGGAAGCACACCAGAAGCAATTGATGCGATAGCCTGGGAAGTTATGGGATTGTTTTCAAGAGTGACTGGTGTAGGTTCCAGTTAATTCTGATTGCACGTGTTCCTCTTCTGCAGACCAGCTGCTGTGTTCTAGACCATATATGGTGTCCTTGGTACAGCACAAGCCAGGTTTTGGGCCTTTTGAATTTTTTTTTTTTTGTTCGCCGGCTGGATGAGAACAGCACTTGGTGGAAGTCTTCCTTCAAATTGTCTTACTTTTCTTTGAATAAAATGTTGTTAGTTTTACTATAAATACAACATGGTCCCAAGTTTCCAATTCATATTTTAAACCAAGATTTCTTTGCTCACTGGAGCTCTGCCTGTCCTTTTTGCCAACAGGTACAATAGTAACCTAGCCAAAACCTCTCACAGTGGCTCAGGAGAAGGGGCATGGCTAAGGTAGAAGGGAAAATAAATTAAAGTTTGACAGTTCAGCTGGAAGAGCACAGTGGCTGTCAGTAATGATCCTTTACAGGGAAAGACAGAAGAGGGCAGATAAGGTATGCGATCAAGTTATATCACCAAGTCTTCAAAGCAGTGGATTCCCTCCCTACATCAGCTGGCTAACCCAGCAAAGAGTAAGAGCTGTTTATTTGGCAGGATAGGAAGAGACAACAGATGGAAAAAGTCAAAGGAAGAAGTTAATTTTCAAGAAGTTGATATTTCATCTGCAAGTGTTAGAAGGATCATTTTGAACAAACGTTACGGCAAAAATTACTACAGTAATCCAGTAATCATTTAGCTCTTACTCAAGCAGTGTGTTTTTAATTTCTATTTTAATTTCTTAATGTCAGATTAAGAACATTTTCTTGACTGGACCGTGTCTGTGGGGAGAAGGGGAAGGTTTTTGCTGAGTGAGAGCTGTAGATACAGGACAAAACATACTACAGCTCAAACTAATAATCATGATCACATTAAAATATATGGTGGACTTAGGTCCCCAGATCTCTTCAGCCCTTTTCTTAGAACTCACTCATAATTATTCAAGGTGATCACAATACTACTGTGTATTCCAGGTATGTGCAGCCACTAATAAAATGAGCAGGTAGGTTAAAAAAAAATAAATAGTCCCACAAAATTGCTCAAGATGTCTACTTTGAAGAGGTGGGATTTTTTCAGTACCTTAAGTAATGGGTTAGGTAGGTTATGATGGTGCTATGTAGTAATACAGCCAAGAAGTGTCAGTGACTATACATATCATCTTTAATCACTCCAATAGAGTTATTCTAGGTGAAGCAAAGACTAACCTGACATCAGCTTTACAGTAGCTGTGACCCATTCCTTGCCACGCAAAGCTACTTGTAAGAATGTAGAAAGAAAGAAAATTGAAGGGAGAAAAAACATTTACTATACAGGTGGGTTTGGTTTGGTCATGTATTGTTTAATGTTTCAGAAAATGGTTAATCTAAATGAGGAATGCAAGTCTTAAACCACAGCCATTCTCTGAATAGCTGTTCCCTGTTTTATTACAGATTTGTGGTTGGATACCAAAAGGCTGCCCAGAGTTACTTCCAAGGTGAATTTTGTAACATGGCAACAATAGTGTATTTCTACATAGCCTTCCAGCTGAAGGATCTCCAAGTGTTTTGCAAGTTACATCATTTAAGATGCTTCTTGTCCCCTCTCCAGATCCTTCTACTTTTAAATTGATTGTCATGAGAGCTTGGGGGAACATGGCTGTGTTTCAAGCATGTTAACTGACAACTGTGGAGGAGAATATATGTGCATTCCCTCTCCACTTCTTACTAAAGATAGCAGATGTTTAGCCCATCTGAGATCTAGGCTATGTGCTCAAGATACCTAGAAAGCAAACTCTTGGTAACCTGAGCATCTGTGTCTGCTGCCAGCGCAGGGAAACCTGTGGAGCAGCTGCGTATACAAAAATGGTTCCCTCAGTCACAAAATACTTGGTACCAAGCACTTCCTGAGAGTGTCACTGTAAGTTAACACGGTGCAAGTATCTGCAGTGCCTCCTCTAGCGATGTGTGTCCTCCCCCCAGGTCCTCTGTAGCTGTGTAAGCAGGCACAGAATGAATTTGGGGTCTTCAAGGGGTCCTAGCCCTTCCACACTTGCTACCTCCCATCTGTTGGCATGGAAAAGCAGTGGGGTTGAAGGTGACCCCAGTTTAGATGGGGGCTGCTTTTACCCCCTGAGATATAAATAACAAGCCTGGCCAAAAGTATTATACAGCTGCTAGTTGGTCTCAGCTGCCCCTGGAGGTTTACTGCTACCAGCTCGTGTCCCAGATAGATAAACAAAGCTCTGACAGGGGTAAAAGGGCCTACAGTGCTCCCAGCTGATACAACATCTGCCAAGAAATCTTTGAGACTGTGGTTCTCAGGCCTGCTAAGGGCTATGCTGCCTATTTTCATTTTCTTAGCTCTCTTTAACCCCTCCCTTCCATCCCAAACAAAAACAGCAGTTAGATTTTTAATAGAGGCTTCAACTGAGACTGCTCCTGTTCCCATCTGGGCTGGTGGAAAGTTCCATGTGTTGCTGTGCAGATATTGCCACGTTTTCATTGACTCGAGTCCAGTAGAACTAAGAGGAAACATCTGCGGAGCAGGATAGCTCTCTGTTTGTCCCAGAAATTAATTGCTTCTGCTGGGAGTGTCGAGAGCCTGAAAGCTGTGTACTAGAGGTGACGAGTCTAGCAACTCCTGCTAAGCTTCTAGTTGTGTTGCCTAAAAAGCACACAGCTGCAATTTACACCACACCCCACCCCCCCGCCATGTATCTCAGTTTAAGGGTCTGTTTTGACAGAGACAGTCCTCTTAAAGCAGGAGAGGGCTAGGCTGTAGGTCAGTGGACCTGGCTGGTTCGCATCTTCTGTTCCTCCAGACCTGCGTTTACATTCAGGGTGATGCACAGCAGATTTACCAAGCCCAGGTTTATCATCAGCCAACATTTTGCAACTACAGTAGTGGTTCAACATTGCAATTGTGTCATTTTGGGAGCAGAGCGGAGCTTGTTCTGCCCTGGGGGTGGGGGTGAAGACATTGGGGAGGAGAGGGGCTATGCCACCCACAGTGAGGCTGTGAAAACTTGCTTCAGCACAGTATGTTGTAAAGACAAGTTAGTGTGAGCCAGAGCTTGCTCATGGCTCCAGTGAGACTGGGGTGTGCAAGTCTCTTCGAGGAACTCAGCACCTTGATTTGACGTACATAATATGGAGTTTCTGCATGTTCTCTGTAAATAGGAATTAACTGGGATTTACCACCTTCTGCTAGGACTGCCTCTAGCTTTTCTTTTAAACTTCAGGAGACCCCACTGCCCTCCTCAGTAGCAGGATGTTCTCCAGCCCTGCTGTGGCACTCGTTTACTTTGCCTGTAGTAAGCCACCACTGAGACCCAGAGAGGGGGGAAGAAGTGACTCCGGTGAGGCCTGAGTGCTCCAGTCCTTAGCCAAGAGCCTTATTCTCTCCTTTGCTTGAACACGCCTGAGCAAAGTGCAAGGGCAGGTCTGCAACTGAGGCTGAAGCTCTTCAGCTGGTCGCCTCCCTGCTATTCCTCCATGCTCCCCAGGCCCTTGTCTCCGAGTGCATCCCTGCCGGTTTGTACTCCCTGCTGGTGTGAGGCAGCTGTTCCTTCTGAGGCAAAGCGTGGGTGCTCCTGCTAGCTGTGCCTCGCAGAGGGGGGTGTCACCCACCTGCTCCCTGCTGTCGGGGAGGCAGCTGCCAGGGGCTGGTTTCAGGCTGGCTCTTTAAATGCCTGGTCCCTCGCTCCTTTTCCTTTGGTGAAGTCTCAGACTCCCAGTGACACTGCTCGGCCACGTTGATACCTATCTCCCCCCAGAGAGACTGCAGTGCCCCCATTTTACTTGGATCAGCTGCATTTCTAGCTATCCAGTAATAGACATTTTTGGTATTCCTGCAAAATAACATTAGGATCTCGAATGTGTTAATGACTCCCTGGTGGTGGTTTCAACCTCAGTTTCATTGACTGGAACACTTTTTAATAAAGCTGTGGTTATCTCATGAGCTCTGTGAACATCTCTGTTGCTACCCTGTTCTCAAGATTAGGGCAAGATCAGCAGCAGAGGCACGCCTGAGTTTTCATGTCAGAACATTTGTACATCAGATTTGATGTCCCTGATTTAGACTGAGGAGATCATAGTTAATCCAGCCCCTTGGCTAATACCTTTGGAGGGGGAAAAGGAAATGAAATCTTGTCTGCTTTCTGACATACAGAGGTCCTCCTCCACCCAGCTGGCATGGCAGGGACTGCAGCTGAGCCAGTTGTGCTCAGGTGTTGGAGATACCAGAGCCACCAGCCTGCAGGCCCTCCCTTCCAGAGGAGCTCTCTCACTACATGTTCTCGCTGTGTTTTGGCAAATGGTAAGTTTTGGTGTTTCCAGGGTTGGAAACCTATGGGTTGAAAAGTCACGATTTAAGCCCTACCTCTCTTCTTTTCCTCCAGACAGATCAACTCTAATCTGATGAGGCTTTTCAAGGGCATGGATTGCTTTCTTCCTGCTGTCTGATCACACAAACTTTTCTCTAAATTAAAAGAATTAAGGAATTCACAAGGCTGATGTTGAAATTCTCATACAATCCCTAATTCAGCATCCACAGCCATGTGAAAGCAAACCAGTCACTCAAAGGTGAGAACGACATGCAACAAGATCATAAGCTGGCAGAACCGCTGTCTGCTTGCTAGTCCTAAAGTACTTCCATTTCAGTGGTGACTTCATTTGAGCTGATGCAGAGACCAGCAGTTTTGTGCAGCCTGTTCAGCGAACCTACACAATTGGGAATTTCTCCAGAGTTTTGGTGTTAGATTTAGAGACTTGACTACAGTTTTCCTTTGGCTGGCTGGACTTTGGGACATGGGTAACAGGCAGAAAAGCAAGGCAGCAAAGAAGCCAGATTTAGCCCTAGCCCACAGGAGCTGCATGCTCCAAACAGAAGGGAGGGTGACCCTGCTCTGGCAGAGGGGTAGGACTAGATGATCTCCAGAGGTCGCTTCCAGCCCCTACTGTTCTGTGATTCTGTGAGTTGTCTGGTGCAACTCATTTTGGAAACAGGAGGATTTTGAACAGCTTGTAACACTTGAACTTAGGTTCTCCACATTTGGGTCTGGTTTAAGGCCCGAGGATCTCCTTTAGCACAGATCCTTCTCTCCTGTGACCTTTGGTCAAGGCAGGATAGAGATGTGAGCTGTGCTTGCTGTGGGGTGTGATGGGAAGGCTCCCTCCTTAGGCTCAGAGCCAATTTCCTAAAGTTGGTGCTGGGGATAACGTTTTGGCAAAGTGCTGACTCCTTGGTTTTCCCCATCATTGTCCTTATGAAAACCGCCCTTTCCTGAACTATTACCGCATTTCTTCTTGATTGGTCTCAAAAACAATGATCCATAGGTTTAGCTTTTCCATTTTAACCTGTTCTGATGTTTATGCTGGTAGAAATCAGGAATGATGCCAGCACAGGTTTGGACAACTGCTACTTAATATCAGAGATTTTCTTCTGTTAGCCCCACTTCCTCAGAGCGTGTTTTTTACTGTCCACCGCTGTTTCTCTCCTATTCCTCTTCAGGGTTACTGTGGTGCTGCTGAGACATGGATCCTTCCCCTGCAAGAGTGGATTTAGTCCAGGCAGCAGACCAGTGTGCTGCCCCAGCCATGGGTCAAGCCACCAAGCTGCATGGCCCCACATGTAAAATGCTTATGGATCTCCCCTTTGCTCTCCTGCTGTCAGCACCGGTGGGGAAGGCAGGAGCTGCAGGCAGGCATCATTCATCATTGGGGTGGCCTGCCTTTGAACTGGTAACTTAGCCTTGAAAAGCCAGGTCTGGTAGTTGCTGAACTTGATAAGAACCGTGCAAATACTGTTACCTAGTCCACCCTTCCACTTTCCAGCCATTGTGCGGCGGTGCTGCCTCATTTCTTGGCTTGGCGATACTTGCTTAGTTCCTAGGAGCCGAATCAAAATATCCTCTGATCTCACTACCCATTTCCTTGCCTAGCTGGGCACGAAATCACAGGTCTGCCTCATTGCCAGGCGCATCCAGCTTCCTTTCATGGGCTTATTCCAGCCACTGTTTTGCTCACTGAAAGCCTTCCAAATTCAGCTTCGTAGCCTACTTACTGGGTTTCCCAAAGCCACGTAAACTTTTCTGACTCCTTTTGTGCTGCCCTGGGACAGCTTCCATAAGCATAGGTTCTTCTGCCTTCTTGTTTTCATCTCAAACCATTTTCCTTACAGCTAACGGGAGCTACTCTCTGTCTGACCAAGAGACTGGGCTTGAAACCAGGGAGTAAAGTGCTTTTACTGGGAAGTAAAATCCATAATTGCACAGATTTAAAGTGTCATGGACAAAAACCTGGTTTCTTAGCATAATTATAGTCTTTCTACCTCTCATTAACCCTTCCACAAGTTAGCTGTTGCTCTTTCCCCTGGTGCCGGCTCCCGTTGTCTCCAATGGGCTATATGTGCCTAATGAGTCTCCCAGCTGTTTCTCCTCAGCTCTGATGTTTGCAGCTTCTCTTTCAGCCCTGAAGGGGAAGGGTTTGCATGGCCAAAACCTCGCTGTTGTCTTCCAGTTCTATTAGTTCATCTAATAAAAAGGATTACCTCTACCCACCTCCCACGCCTCCCTTACATAAGAAGCATGAATCATCAGGTTCCTAAAAGCATGGTGTCTGCCCAAAGAGCCAACTTAAAAAAGACCATTGATATCCCTGTTATTTAACTGGAGCCGCAG